GGGAGGGAGGGAGGGAGGGAGGGAGGGAGGGAGAGAATCCATGATGAAAAAAACACATAAGCTAAGAGATGCCTATGTTTTTTATTTTGCCCTGGAGCCTCAGAGGCCTGTATGACTGAGAATTCTAGTCTCTGAAGCTTTGGGAACAAGTTTCTGATGTTTTAAGTATCCCAGTTTTGGTAGGCTGTTACACGGTGCACAGAAATTAATTTAATTGCCCTGGTGTTTGATTGAAGTTGGGCAAGAATCTGGGGCTACCAGCAGAACCTCAGCAGTTGAACTAGCGTCCTTGTCATGCCAATTTCAGCCTTGCACTGTTGTCAGATGAATGGGACACAGACTATAGGAAAGAATCCCTTGACCTTCATATGCCTTGGGCTGTTGAATCCTGCCTCCCACCATGGCATGTTGACATCCTTTGAAAGCATTTCCTTGGGGTAAATACAAGTGCTACTCCATGACATGCAGGCTGTTTAGATTTTGTACTGTGGGTACAAACTGATACTTTAGCTTCAGGAGGCTCAGATGGAGAAGCTGACAGCCCAGAGACAGGTGGAAGCTGAAGAAATGGAGCAAAATGCTTGCCACACAGCTCAAGGAGCTGAGTTCAAGCCCCATAAACCATATAAAAAGCCATGGGAGTGGTGCATATTTATAATCCCAGCATTGAGAAGTAGAGACAGGAGCATGCCTGGGGCCTGGGGGCCAGCTAGTCTAGTAAAGTTGGTAAGCCCTGTCTTAGTCATGGTTTCTATTGTTGTGAAGAGACAGCACAACATCAGCAACTCTTATAAAGAAAAAGATTTAATTGAGGTGGTAGCTTACATTTCAGAGGTTTAGTCCATTATCATCATGGTGTGACATGGTGGTGTGCAGGCCGATGTGGTGGTGGAGAAGGAGCTGAAAGTCCTACGTCTTGTAGGCAACAGGAAGTGAACTGAGACACTGGGTGATGTCTTGAGCATATATGAGACCTCAAAGCCTGCTGCCACAGTAACACACTTCCTCCAATAAGGCCACACCTTCTAATTGTGTCATTCCCTTCGGGGGCCATTTTCTTGCAAACCACCACAAGCCCCTAGTCATAAACAAGGTGGAGAGCACTTTGGAAGACATCAGAAATTAGCATTTGACCTCCACATGCACATATATGCATGCCAACACACCACCAAAGAAAATAGTCAAAGGGCCATGGGACATACATGAGCAAGCACCCTGCCTCCTCTTCCCATGGCCACACTTCCTCACCTTCTTCCACAGGCAAGCTCCTCTACTTGCTGCTGTTCAGCAGAGCTTGTCTCCAGCCACCAGCACCATTCTCAGGGGTCAGAAGACATGGCTGGAAGTTCCAGACTATAATACTGGATAACCTGGTCTTTCTGATAACTGGCACCAAGCCAAAGACCCCACCCAAGCAGCCTCTCTAACCTAAAGTCAGGAGTTATCAAGGGGGCTTGTTATAAACACAGTAGCCTTGTAGCTACTCACATGTGAACTCTCTATTTCAATGTTTTTAGTTACCTGTGGTCAACCATGGTCTGAAAACTAGCTAGAAAACTCCAGAAGTAATTACTATGTTTTAAACTGTGCACTGTCCTTAATAGTGTTGTAGAAGTTCATGCTGTCATCTTATTCAACCTGGATGTGAACCTGGTTATACCTTGTACATCCACTGTATTCACCACTTGCCCCTGGGGTCACTTGCTTTTCAGACCCTCTGTGCTATCTTGTATTTTTGTATCAGCAGCAAAGCACAAGTGTATAAAGTGGCATCGAGTGTACAAAGCCCAGGAGGAGAGATTGACTCTGGTGCACAGGACAAGAGGGAAAGATGTGGTGTGGAATGGAAGCTGCTACTATTTGCTGCTTGCATAGTGTCCCTCTTGGAAGGGGAACTACTATGTAAAGGACACAGGAGTCCTTGGGATGTCAGGACTTCTGTAGCAAGAACTTCCTGTTCCGTCACAGCGCCATGACCGACTGTCAGCAATGCAAGACCATTTAGTATGAATTAGGGACTAAAGTTTAGAGACATCTACTAAAAAATTTGAGCAATTAATTTTCACAGAACTCTTCGGGCTTCATCAGAGCACTCCGGGGTCTGTCATTTATAAGCAATGAGTCCCAGGGCTGGAAAATAAAGCTCAGTGGATAAGGTGCTTGCTGTGCAAGCATGAGGACCTGGGTTGGGCTCCTCAGCACACATGTGAGATGGGTATGATGGTGTGCGTCTCTAACTTCAGTGGTGACTCACTTGGCAGCCAGTTAGCATCGGGTGAATGTCAGGTTCAGCGAAATACCCTGTCTCAAAAACTAAGATGAAGAATAATGGAGGAAGACAGCTGATAACGACCTCTGGCCTCCTGTGGGTGAGCACATATGCGCAGATATCCATGCACACACACTCAACAAATTTAAACAATAAAAAGGAAGCATCTCTCTGTCTTCTCTCCTGTTACCTGTGATGTGTTCTGAGTCTTCCAGCATCAGAACCCCTCCTGTTTCTCTCTTCAGGGGAGAAAGAAGATGACTGGCGTCCTCTCCTGCACTTCTCCTGGAAGGGCCTGGGCTCCCTGCCGAGGTCCCAGCAGTTGGCCTTTTAAAATCCAGAAAAAAAATCCTTTCTCTAAGAAACACATCCCGAAGGTGTTTTGTTTCCCAAGCAATCTAGTAATAATCCAGGGACCCAAGGAAAAAGGGGATTTTTATTTGTTTACATCTTAAGGCTACTATGAAAGAAAATCAATATTAGCTGGGGCTCTTTCCATGGTGGGAGAGTTCAGTGCTGAAAAACTCATTTCCAAATTCATATGCTAATGGGATTTTGGAGGTGAGTGATAAGGATTGAATGAGATTACAGGAGAAGGCAAGGAAGCTTTGGGCTGGCTCACTGACTTTGCTGGTCTTGTTCTCTGATGAGTCAGGATGCAGTGAGAAAGTATTCACCAGATGTGAGCACTGTCTCTCAGACTATCACCATCCAGAAAAGTCTGTCCAAATCAACATTTCTCCTCCATTAGGCATCCAGTCTTTGATATTTTGTTACAGCAATAGAAAACAGACTAAGATGGTTAGTTATAAAAACACGAATTTAAGGAATAGATCTGTGTTTTAAATTTAGAAGAAAGACTTGTACACATTTAGATTATTTCATTATAATGATTGAACCCTTGCCCTATGACAATGTTAGACCCCCGAAAACTCAAGTGTCCGGGGTCCCAGGCCACGTTCTCGGTCACCCCAATCACCAGGCAGATTCGAGAGCTTGCTGCAAACTGCACGAGACTTTATTGTAATTTAACGAGCTAACCCCATGTTAGCTCGGGTCTTTGATCCACCCACCATGGCGGATGGCTAGCAAAGATGGCTCCTAGGGGCTCCCGAAAGATCTTATAAGGCAGCGTAAGGGGAGTGTCTAGGGGTGTGCACAGGCTCACGATTGGTGTGCCTCCAGGCTTGGAGGGCTTGCCCTGTGTTGATTGGTCAACTGGTTGTTATGGCCCACAGGCCCTCCCAGGGTGGTTGCTATGCTCTCTACGTCATTGCTGTGCGCTTGTCCATAAAGCACACCCAGGGTCGTAAAGCATAGCGCCACCAGCTAACTTCTGATTGGTTCCTTGTCACAAGACAGGCATCTGACTTTCTAGTGTCTAGAACAAGGTCATAGAAGCACATGTTTGACTGTTATGGCTGCCAAAAGGGAAGCTGGTTGCTTCAGCTAAGATACAGATGACAAGGTTGGTTCCCTGGGCTGTTGCAAGCATCAGAGAAGATCCTGAGTCTTACCTGCACAGATGAAAACAATGAGGTCAGTAGGGTTAAGAAACTTCATAGATATTGGTGAAAACTCTGAACCCAAGTCAATGCCTTCAGAAGTGTGTTCTTTCTGAATAAAAACAGGACCAAAAGATTTATACTTCCAGAGCAAATATAAATTTTAGCCTATAAATTTATTTTCATAAATCATCTTAACACCATTTCCAAACCCATCTCCCTAAGGGCTGGAGGAAATGAACGCCGAACCTTCTGGGCCTTCCTTCTCCTGCCGTACAGATCTGAGCAGGGCTTGGAGGGTGAAGGTGAGTCTGACCAACATGGTAAGGCACCATGTCTGAGTCTCAGACTGGTGACTGCCAAGTGGCAGACTGTCCCAGTCTATGTTACTCCTTACTCTGTGACTTCTATACAGAGTCTGGGTATCTTGCTGGCTTGTTCATCTACCCTGCTCCTGCTGCCACTATCTGAACTTTGAACATGGACTGAAAACCGGTGGCTCTCTAAGAATCCATTGGGCTTTCAGCACCGCTTTGGGACTGGGAGGCAGCTAGCCTTATGAACTGAGTAGCTACTGATTTCTCATTCTCTGCAGTGTGAATTAATCTCCCAGACTACTGTGGAAGTCAATTTAAGACATTCCTTTTAATATATATTCATCCTATTGGTTCTGTTCCTCTAGAGAACCCTGACCAGTACACAGACCATATGCTCTTCCTTGAGCTACCTCTTTTCCCAGTGAAATTAGAATACTAACAACTCTTTCAGGGAACATGCCCAGTAATGTGTGTGTGTGTGTGTGTGTGTGTGTGTGTGTGTGTGTGTGTATCTTCATATCTTCTTGCCAAGGCAGAGTTAAGGCAGACTAACATGAAATCTCCATAAGTCTTTCTAAACATACCCAGGACACCACCCTTCACTGATTCTCTCCTGGGTGGATTGTGCCCCACTGAAGATGCTCACAGCAATAACACTGCAGGCATCATTTCCCATTTTTGGCATTTAATAATCTCTCTTGGCTTATCATATAATGTTTATATAAGGTTGTTTCTAATAACACTGAAGTTGTTATGGCAATGCATGAAACCATTCTTTTTGAAAGACCCCAGTAACTGTGGGTGTGAGATGATGCCCATGTGTTGATTTATCCCACAGTATATCTAACAACTTGAGTCTAATTTGTAGGTTCTTTTGAAAGATCTGATGAGCTGGAGTACATCCTGATCTACTCAGTTATTTGACTCTTAACTAAAGACTTACTAAAGGATATATAAATGTCCTCAACCACAGAGATCAGAATCACTGGCTCGTGACATAAATACATTAATTCAGAAAGTGGGCATTAAAAACCCACAATGAAGGCACAGGATTTACCATGTTCAAGGATTGCAATATGGCCATGCACAGCATTTTAACCAATAAGTTTCTGTGTTTTCTCCCCATCACTAGTAAATCCCTGAGCTGTTAGCGCACACAGGGATTGTTGGGATGTGCTCTCAGTAGACCTCATCTTTGGGGATCATTTTATTTCCTCAGTTTAGTGCCTCCTCACTAAAATAGAGCACTCCATAATTTTTTCTAAAGATTCTATCAGTCTTGATCCAGTGTGCTAAGTGATAAATGACAGTAGGCTGGCCACAGAGGGGAAACTGGCAATGAGTCATGCTGTCTCCTAGTAACCAGTTGGTAAATAGCTTCCAGGAAGCTCCTAAAGCCCACAGCACATTTACCTCTAGTACCATCCGTGGACAGGTTTCCCTAATCTATATCTGTGCACTTGCCTTCTTTAAGAACATATGGGAGGATGGAGTGGAATTTTTTGTCTATTGTCTCCTTCAAAGCCCTAGTGAAAACTTGCTTAAAACAGCTAGTCGTTGACCCATTTCCCCGTGTTTTGTTTGCTCTCAAATCTTACAAAGCGGTTTTTGCTGTCTGTTAATTTTCTTGATGGATAGGTTGTACTATGTAACCAATAAATCAGTTCATGTTGCAATGTAGCTCCACAATTCAGAAGGACGCTTGTCAGTGCTTATGTGTGGCAGCAAGCCACTGAGTTACCGGTGGGCTCTGTGAACAGAGGCCATGTTCTGTCTTCTCTCTTCTCAAACACTGTCCACGTGTACAGGAGAGCTTGGCTGGGCAGATAGGCAGAGACTGTGGAGGAGAAAGAGATGATCTCTGATAGCACTTATTCACGGAGAAAAGTCCTCAGTGACTACAGACCTGGTTCAATGTCACCTGGAAGCATCAGTGGGGGAACACTGGGAATGGATATCAAAGTCATCAGATTTCTTTCCCTTGATGAAATGATGCTTTCCCAAAGCTTGGAGAGTAATTGTAAGTCTATTGTGTGGAAATCAAGATTCACTAGACTCAGTACAGGTTAAGGCAAATTTATTCGGGGAGAATACACTTACACAAGAGGTGGGTGACCGCTGCAAGTTCCAGCTCCAAGGATTCACCCAAGCTCCTCTCTCTGACACGACTGGAAGCAAGAGAGAGCCACTTGTCCTGACCCCAGACCTAACTCACTCCCCTGTCATGTCTGAACCTGTGACCAAGCCCATTTGGTCAGTGCTACAGGTGAGGGCAGAGTGGATATCTCACTACATAAGTCTTTATCTTCTACATTTCACTAGCAACAATAAGAAATTGTCACCACTCCCGAGAAACTGTTTTGTTCCATTTAGTCTTGTCTTTTTAATTAATGGCACAGTCATCTCTCCCAGTGCCCATTTCACATCTTGAACATAACTCTGGATTTTGATAGATGATCATTTTAATCCTTCCCAAATTCCATGAACTGGGGATATTTGCTCTGGATATACAGCCCAAGGCTTAGAGAGGCTAAACAAACTGTCCCATGTTGCAAAACTAACAAACTGCACAGCTGAGACTTGAACCTCTGATTTCCTGGCTATGAAGTTCATAAGCATAATCCACATTAATTCCTTTTTGGTTAGCCTGGAATCTGAAGTGAATTGAAGGAGTAAACGTCAGAGTTTATTAATCTGGCTAAAGAGTCATAGGATTATATGACAACCATACACGTGGGCTTGGGTAGGAAGAGTAGGCAGCACTTAACCTTGGGGTTTTCAACTGTGATTCGAAGACTCTGCTGAAGTTCTTAGAGATGCCCTTAGAGGAAGAAAGGGCAGCAAGGGAAGGCTGGAGTTGCAGTGACAGCTCAGGACTTTCAGTTCCTGATTCAGAGGCAGATACCTCTCGTATTCTTCTCATGATGGCATCTCATTTGAGTCTCATTCAGTAGGGATGGCAAGGAGGCTCAACATTTCAGATGGAAATAAAGATCAATAATTGAAGAGTTAGCCTGTATATGCCATTTCCTAGCATGAGGAGGAAATAAAGACTGGGGAACAGCAATTTAGGCAGTCTTTTCTGTTGTGATTGTGTTAACTTCTCCTGAAGAGACATTAACAGATAGATGCTCGTTCACCCTAGTTCCTCAGTGAGACAGACCAAAGTACAACTCCATCCAAGTCCAACTTGACCAAACACTGCATTGATTGGGATTACTTTCAAGGTTATAAGATCACAGGTGACCCCCCCAAACAGTTGTACCCCCTCACCATGGATGATGGCCTAATGAAAGCTGCATCCTAGAGTATCCCTTCTACTTCCTATACACTCTGGGTTCACCCAAGATCCTTTGCCAATGTAGAGGGCAGGAAAGAATACTGCCTACAATCTCAGGTAAGGGTCCCATGACCCTCCCTCTCTTGGGGGTGTCAATAGCTCCATTACCATTGTCATTACTGTAGTCTTGGCTACTTCTGTATTGTTCTGCTCAATTAGTTGCCATGGCTACAGGCTAAGGTAATCTGATCTAAAATGACATGTGGTGATCATGTTATGTCCAGAGGGGGGAAAAAAAGCCTCACTATAATAGTTACAATCATAGCCCTCTGAGCTGGGAGCACCCCAAGTATTTGTTATCCCTACCACCTGCAAGAATTGGCTTTTCCTCCCGTATTATGCTCACATTTCTCCAGCACTGAGAGTAAGCCATCAATGACCCCCTTCTCCTCTCCTTAGCCCTTACTATGTTTCTTCATAATAAGCTAAAATCTGCCCTTTCATATCCCTGGGAGCCAAGTGGGGTAAAGTTATTCTTCTCCTTGACCCCATGTCACATGCTGAAGCTATTGAGCAGCAAGTAGGCATGGCACTTCCAGGCCCTTGTCTCTTATTCCCTTAAACATGCTGAAGGCTGCCAGATTTCTTCAGAGCAGGCTGACACACTCCAAAAAAGCTTCAGTGTTGCTTCCCCTTAAGATTCCAGTGCAAAATTAAACAAAGATTCCAGTAGCATTTTAAGTCGTATATTATCCCTTAAATGTTCATTCTACAGAGTGGTTAATCTTCATTATCAATTTAACAGAATCTAGAGTCACCTAGGAGACAAACTGTTACAAGACTGGCAGAAATGAAAATACTTGAAAGGGGTACTTTTGTCTCTCAATCTGGCTATCAGTCTATTGATTCAATGGGCCATCAAGAAACAGAAATTTTCCCAGTAATCTTAAGCTGGGAGGAGGAAAATGCCCCCACCCCAAAGGAGGAACTTGTCTTCTGAAGTGAGATTTCACATAGTTCTAACAATTGTCTGACCACCTTACAGGATGATACTGAAACCCAGAAGATAATTGGGCAATGCTGAGCTGCTCCACACCTTGACTGGGACTAATTAAATGTGAACATCCTTGACTCGCTATTTAAACTTTAATCTCATTTCTGGGTCCTGACGATGGACTTGAGCAAGTTAGTTCACTGGAGCTCTTTTTCCTTCTTTTGAACATGGCCACATTGAAAACAAAAATCTTCTTTTTCTGTTTTGCACTATTAATTGGCTTATTGAGGATAGGTGGCTGTACCTGGCATGGGACACAGGTTGTAGCCCCAAGTTTGACAATGAAAGTAAGCTGAACATTGGGATTCATTCCTGTTTCTTGACTGCTGATGCAATACATTGCTATTTTTTGGTCCTGCCATAATGGACTGTGCTCTCTGACTGTGGACCAAAATAAACCCTCCCTACCTTGAGTTGTTCCAGTCAGATGCGTTGTCACAGCAGTGAGGAAAGTGATTAATGTACACATTGACTCCCTCGGGATGGGTAAGGAGTGACTGCTATGTGAAATAAAGTTGAAATGCTATTATCTTGAAGCTGCATTCTCCCACACAGAAAAATTCATGTATACCTTTTCATCTTCCCTGTTTCTTTCTTTCCTTTTTTTCTCTTGGAAATAGGGTCTTCCTATTTATCTCAAATGGCCTGGGACCCGTGATCTTCCTGCTTCAGTCTCTCAATGTACCACCATTCCCAGTTCCTCTTTTCTTCAAAGGTACTCCATATACAGCCCAGATAGCTCTGGTATGCTGGTGGTGATTTCTTCCCAAGGGAAGACATCCTTTGCTGCTGATAGGTGTACAAGCTCCCCAAAAGGATTTGCAAGTTTGAGGTAATTAATGAGTTGATTGTGGGGATATACTGAGGCAAATTTAGATTTTTCTACTCAAGCCATAGCCACAATGGTGGTTCAATGATCCATGCAATAGATACAATGATGGAGCTACCAGTCCATGTATGATGGTAATTCAAGGGCTGGGGAAATGGTTTAGTAGGTAAAGTTCTGGCTGTGCAAGCATGAGGATATAAATATCTCCAACACCCATGTGCAAAAGCTAAGCATGGGGGTGCCCACTTAAAATCTCAGTCCTGGGTCAGGAGAGGCAGAAGGGTCTTTAAGTTCAGCAAGAGACCCTCTCTCAAGAAACAAAGTGGACAGTGCCCGAGGGATGACATCTGAGGTGGCCTCTGGTGCCTGCATGTATGCACATATACTTGTACCTGTACCCGAATACCTTTGTGCATTTAACTATACACACATATGTTGAATCAGTTTTAATGATCTTTACAGATATATTTGTTAGTGAGAATAGAAAGGGAAAACAGTGGTAATCAATGAAAAGCATTTCCTAAATGTTGCAAAAAGTACTACAATTGGTCCTCAACTCTTCCAGCTGATAGAATTGTTGTTGTTGTAGCTGCAGTGTCAAGCAGCAGCAGAATACCATAAACCTCAGAGCCGGAGTGTGCTGGAGTTTACCTCCCTGAAGTGAATGCAAATTACCATTTTAATAATGCACCGTTTTGTTAAATGCTAGAAGTGGCCCTGAGTTCTTACTGGGCCCCAATGTCTGAAAGGTAGAAAATTCACCTCAGAATTGAGCATCCACGAGAAAGAACCCACTGAACAAATAACTCCAGCTTCATCCCAGGCTCATTTTCTCTCAGCATCCAGGGCTATCTGTAAGCTGCCTAAGTGATTCATAGTGCATTTTCACATTTCTTTTTATTCAAAGAATAAATGTGAATTATCTTGTTTACTGTCACCACAGCTTGGCAATTATTATTAGCTCCATCTTATATTTGGAAAAATAAAAGTTCAAGATCCTTCAAGGGCTGTAGTTCATGAGACGCAAAGAGCAAATCTCACAGGGAATATTCACAGGACTTAGATTTCATGGGTATTTCAGCTAGAGATGCACCTAAGATCATCCAGTTAACCTCTTCATTTTGAAGGCATGGATGGGAATATCAGAACCATTCCAATGTTCTGTTTAGTGAACTTAAATACTCTCAATTTCGTTTCCATTTCCCGAGTTTGAGATGAGAAGACTCTCACCAGCTGATTTCTAATAATAGGATTCTCATAACCACTAATGGGATTGTGCCAGGATGGATGCAAGCATCTCTCCGTGTGATGTCTAGCTAATGTATATGCCAGTCATGCTGAAGAGGACACTGGATGGGGGGCGGGCCTGCCTCCAACCTCTTGTGGGACATTCGTTTGCTTCCGGTAAACAGACCTCAGGCCTGGTTTTGGATCAGCATCTCCACATCTAAAATTAGGTGTTGTACTAAATCTTTAATGTTCTTAGAGTTTTATGTGCCACGGTTCTCACTTTCTTTATATAAATTTTTTTCAAATGCATAATATACACATATGTCATAGGAATGCAAATTCACAGACACTATAGAGAGAGAGGGAAAAAAGCAGAAAGTAGAAATGGAAGATTCCAGGATAGTTAACTATATTTCAAGGTAAGTGGTCTCAAAAGAGAAAAAT